TATGTATGGAAGCAATCTAAAACAGTAACAATAAAGGAATTGGGCATGAGAAGACATAAGGGTATTTCCTTTACGCCTGATACACTTCTGTATTATATTTTTAAAAATGAGTGTGCCTTGAAAAAATCTTAAGCACGAAATAAGTAAAACAGGATTTTAACAGGTAGGTGAATTAGGTTAAACAGTTTTTGTATGGAGAAGGTATAAGCAAAAGTGTGAAAGTATCAAAGGCAAGTCCGGACCATTAGCACCCAGCTAGCATTTGCTGAGCCCCTTCTATGTGCCAGGCACTCCACATGTAATGATTCCTGGCAATAATCCAGCAAGGCAAGGACTAACTCCACCACTTCACAGATGAAAAAATTGAAGGTCAGAAAAATTAAGAACAAATCAGTGAGAACTAATTAAAAGGCAGGCTGAAATTCAAATTCAGGTCAGTTCAACTCTAGGGCATGCGATCTTAACCACTATACACACTGCCTGCAGTTCAAGGACTTGAAAGCTGGGCCAAGTAGAACATTTTCTTTACTAGGCAGTGAAAAAAATCACTGAAGGATCAGTTGTGATAATGACAGAGTTCCTGCCTCAGAAATGTAAACTCTATATATTCTAAGGCCTTTCAAAACATACCTCAAGACCCCAAATTTAGCTTGCTCCACCAAGAGCTGACATGTATTTACTGGACCACATATTTACAGTCGAGACCCTGGGTTGACATTTCACCGACAGAAAATATGCCTTAGCCATGTCCTATACTTTGCTACAGAACAAAATAAAATGCTGCCTAATAGGCAGACTGGCACACTGTTGGAGCAATGTCCTCAAAATCATCAAGGTGAATTATGGCAAAACTAGATTAGGAAGAGATGATATGAATCAAGAAAGACAGTACCTGTTAGATGGTACTCTTTGCCTGCCAATACGTTAACACCAGCCATCTGAATGCCTGACTAACTGGCATGCAAGCTATGATTTTTTTCAATCACTACCACAATCTCAGGTAACAAAGACATGCTTTAAAAGGCAAGATTTTATCACTACTAAACATTAAGGATTATAAATTTCTTACATCAAGGTAATCTAGAGCAAGGAACGTCTCAGGTTCAGCTCTTTCCTCCTTCAGAAATCGAATACAATCTTTTGCTACCTTTTCAGAGGTTACAACAATGGCGACCATGTACCGGCCAAAAAGTTTCGTAACAGCTAGCTGGTATTTCTTGTGAATAGGATGACACAGGTCAAGTAGTCTTCCAAACTTAGCAGGTTTCAAAAAAGGAGAGAGAAACAAATACATCAGTGAAGAACATATAATTCACTGTTTTCTAATGTAACAAAGCAGCATAGATCAAAGGCTAATTCTATAAAAATTATAAATATCATAATTTAACAGAGTCTCATCCAAATGGACATAAATTTCATTATGAAATATCCATTTAGGTGTATCATACTTCACTTAATAAAAGATTAATAAGGAAGGACTAGTCATACCAGGGTACTAAGATATTTTCCAAAGCTACAGCAATTAAACAGAATTCATCATTCCCTTCTTTATTGAACGATACTATATGAGGCACCTACTACATGCAGGTACTGAACTAGACACTGGTTAAACAAAAAGAAACAAATACATATGAGTTTGCTTCTTGCTAGATTAAGAGATACTATGTAAGCATTCTCAGGAAATAATTGATTTATCAGTTTGCCTTCTTCAGAATGAAGAACAAGCAATGCTATACTTTGATCTTTTTTTTTTTTAAATCCTCGACTGTTGCCATCTCTGAGGTTTATAGCATGATGTAGTAAGGTGCACGTAGCCTTACTCCGCCGACATTATCTAGAAGGCAAGACAAACATTTAGGAGTCAGAAAGTCAAGAAGGATGCTGTAAAATTAGAAATGAAGATGACTGGCCAGAGAGGTAGGAGGAAAACCAGCAGAATGTGGTATTAGGCCAACTGACAGGTGTTTCAAACAGTGGAAGTGGTTAACTGTGTCAAATGCTGAAAACAGGCCATCATAAAACAAGGACCACACAGTGTATATTGGTGCTGGTCGTAAGAGAGTGAGATGCCAGACCCAATACTAAAGGACATAATTCTGTGAAGGTGACAGTCCAACCATCAGGTTAAATACTGCTACATTTGGACTAATGAAATACACTAGTAATACTGGATGGACAGTCGTATTTAGGGAATAAAAATTTATTGTTTCAGTAAAAATTCATACTTTTCAGAAGTATGTCATTAATGTCTACTGAAAATATATTTCTAAAAAAACTGAAATAATGAAGAAAGTGAGGTTTGAGGCCAGAAGTCCACGGGGCACCAGACTACTTCATGGCACCCTTTGTGTCCTTTGGGACTACTGGCCATAACTTGGACTTTCTGTCTGATATGTACATGTCAATGTTTCTCTCCAATAATTATCTGTCTATAGACATGACATTTTACCCCAGTTATTTATTATTGTATTTTAAATATAAGTAATAAAACACAAAACTTATAGATTTCTGAAATACTACTGCTTCCTAATAATGGTAAATTTTCATTTCCAAATAAGAAAGTTTAGCCTTTTAATTTCAATTAACTAGTCATTTCTAATTACCACAGAATCTGGGTAAAGTCTTTTAAGGTGTTCCAGAATCTCTGCTCTCTTTTGTTGACGTCTTCCCTCATGGGTATCAATTCCAGCATTTTGCAATTCACTTCTGATAAGATTCAGCTCTTCATTAACTTCAGACATTCTTGATTTTGTTTCTTCAATTTCATCCACTAGGGTTTCCTCTTGCTCTTTTTTCTCTTTCAAGCAATTCCTACATAATAATAATACATCATATAGCAAAAAGGAAAAACCAAAATTAAGGAATTACAAGATACAATATACTCTGGTCTGGCATTGCAGAGGAACAGAATAGTTCTGCATCAATTTGAAATGACGAAAAATACTATAAAATAAGCCTAGCACTAAACGTGGGCAAAAGAGACTCTAATCATTCTTTATTGATTCAAAAGATACATATTTCTGCATACTGAAAAATAAAGGATAGATCACTAAAACCAGAGCAATCATTAAGAGCTTAATAATAAGCAAAAGCCAATTAAAAAGAAATTCTTCATGGTAGAAATACTTAGGTCATGCTAGCTTTCATGACATAACTTTTATCATAAAATATCAATACCAAAACAGAATTTTAAGTTTCACCACTGTTAAACATTTATATTTTCAAAAGTTAAACATTAGTGGTTAAGTATAATTCTTAATTATCTATAAAGAAATAAAAAAAACAATGGAGGACTGAGAATATTATGATACAGTGGAAGCATTCATCTGATGAGTAAATATACCACAAATATACCAGACCCCTGAGATATAGGAAAACTAAAAGGAATTTTAATATACCTACATGCATGTTTTTGTATACTCCTCCAACTTCTCTATTCGTTTTTTATGATCCTCTATTTGTTCTTTTATTTGTTTTAGATTTTCCTAGAATAGGAAATGAAACCTGAAATCAATTACAACTCTAAACAAATAAAATTATTTTTCACTATATTCCTAGAGCTTACTATAACAGTAAAGTTGTAAATTTGAAATATATCATACATAACCATGTGAAAATTCTCATAAGAGCAAGTTTTTTTTTAATCACTTGTGATTTCTTTTTTTTTTTTTAGTTTTTTTTGGGGGGCGGGGATGGAATTAGGTTTCATTTATTTTAATGGAGGTACTGGCAATTGAACCCAAGACCTCATGTATGCTACTACGCATGCTCTCTACCACTTAAAGTATAACCTCTCCCACCATAAGAGCAAATTTTAATTTTGAAAAGGCACTATGGCATAGAGCATTGAGGTTCCAAGAATCAGTGTTCAAATCCTGGCTCCACCATTTACTAGATAGCTGATCTCCAGCAAATTTACTTTGTTAACTTCAAATTCCAAGGGGATCATTTTCAAATATCTACATATAGTTCTTATTTATCTCTCAAACTAACTCATTCACTAAATATTTATTCACTGGCTGCCATGTGCTAAGAACTAAAGATATAATAATGAACAGGACAGAGTCCCCACTCTCAAGGACTAAGGCCAATGTAGGCTTATGGGAGAGGACTTGAAAAAAGTCTTGCCCCTTTCACTTTATCACTAAATCCAAGGACTGTGCTGGTTTCCAATTCGTTTATCCTTAACCTTCCCCCTGTCTAATTCATCCTATGTGTTACAGCAAGATTAATTTGTCTTACTAAATGATCTAAAACCAGAAGTGTGGAAGAGTAAAAAATACAATTCTTTTTCAGTATACAACACCAGGAGGGAGAAGAAATACCAGAATTTTCAGGTGGAAAAGGACAAACATATATCATGAAGATAATGTTCTCATTTTACTCATTTATCACACATATTCACTGAACAAATATCTACTATGCTAGGTGCCATAGTTATAAAAATGATCAAGATGTAATTCCTTTCCTTCAGGAACTCATACATTTTGAAATTAGAGCTTCCATATTGAAATTCTGTTATCTCACTTAAGAATTCCATTCAAAGAGGCAAAAACAAGATTAGGTGACCAAAGACCACATTGACCTGCCTCCATCTTTTCTCTGGCCACTCCCAGGGCTTATGTCAGGTCATGTGGGCTCCCTCGTACTCATGACTTCACATGCCAGATGGGTCTCTTAGGGGCCACCACCTGTTATGCCAAGGGCTTGGAAGAAGATTCAGACATGGCTTAAGTTGAAGAATTGGCGTTACTGGAGAAAATGTAAAAGGCCAGGGACATCATTACACACGGCAATGGTCAGGGCCTGGATGTCCTATTGGGCACAAAATGGGGGATAATCAGACTGCCTTGGTACCAGGTATTCTGGATTTGAGATGCCAGCTGATCATGCTAGTCGTCCAGAAAAACCAACTCCTGCCCAGCACCTAGCAATCTTGGGATCTGTGGAAAGTAATAGCCCCTGCCACCTAGAAACCACCATTCCTGTGGGAAACTGAGTATGGGTACGTATTTTTTCACCTCTTTCCACACTGAAAAGTTATTTCTTCTTCTATCAGTGTTTCTGTATTTAAAAGACAACAGAGATTCAATCATCACTCACTGATATGTATTAAGTACACGGGAATTAAAATGGACCATACCACCCATGGCAATCTACAGATTCACTGCAATCCCTATTAATATACCAAAGGCATTTTTCACAGAACTAGGATAATTATAAAATTTGAATGGGAACACAAAAGACCCTAAATAGTGAAAACAATCTTGAGAAAGAATAGAACTGAGCAGTATCATGGTTCTTGAGTTCAAACTATACTACAACGCTACAGTAATCAAAACAGTGCAGTACTGGCATAAAAACACTCATAGATCAATGGAACAGGATACAGAGCCAAGAAATAAACCCACACTTATGTGGGTAATTAATCTGTGACAAAGGAGGCAAGAATATACAATGGGGAAAAGACAGCCTCTTCAACAAGTGGTGTTGGGAAAACTGGACAGCTACATGCAGAAGAATCAAACTGGACTACTCTCTCATCAAGCACAAAAATAAATTCAAAATGGATTAAAGACTAAAATACAAGACCTAAAACTGTAAAACTTCTAGAAGAAAACATAGGCATAGGCAGTACACTCTGACCCTGGTCTTCGTAATTTTTGGATATGTCTCTTCAAACAAGGAAAACAAAAGCAAAAATAAACAAATGGGACTAGATCAAACTAAAAAGCTTTTGCACAGGGAAGGAAACTATCAACAAAATGAAAAGGCCGCTTACTGAATGGTAGATATTTGCAAATAATATATCCAATAAGGGGTTACCATCCAAAATATACAAAGAACTCATACAGCTCTGTATCAAAAAAATTTTTTTAAATGCGCAGGGGATCTGAACAGACATTTCTCCAAGGAAGACATACAGATAGCCAACAGGCACACAAAAAGTTGCTCAGCATCACTAATTGTCAGGGAAATGCAAATCAAAACCATAATGAGCTATCACCTCACATCTGCCAGAATGGCTATCACCAACAAGACAACAAGTAAGTGCTGCCAACGATGTGGAGAAATCCTCGTGTACTGTTGGTAGGAATGTGAACTAGTGCAGCCACTGTGGGCAACAGGATGGAGACTCCTCATAAAATTAAAAATTGAACTAACATGATCCAGCAATATGACTGCTGGGTATTTATGCAAAGAAAACAAAAACACTAATTTGAAAAGGTAAGTGTACCGCTACATTCATAGCAGCATTATTTACAATAGCCATTGTGTATGTATATGTACACACACACACAAAATGGAATATTACTCAGCCATAAAAGGATGGAATCTTGCCATTTGCAACAATATAGATGGATGTAAAGGGTATTATGCTAAGTGAATGGGGCAGACAGAGAAAGATGAATACTGCATGATTTCACTTATATATGGAATCTAACAGGAACAAAACAAATGAACAACCATAAAAAACATAAACAGAGCTAGAGATACACAGAACAAACAGGTGTTTGTCAGAGGGGAGGGGGATAAGGGGAGGAAGAAATAGGAGAGAGAGATTAAGAGGTACAAACTTCCAGTTGCAAAATAAATGAGTCACAGGTATGAAATGTACAGTGTGGGGAATATAGCTAACAACTATGTAATACGTTTGTAAGGTGACACAGCATAACTAGACTTGCTGTGGCCATCAGTTTGAAACGTATGGAAATACCAAATAACTACATTGTGTAACAGGAACTACCACAGTGTTATAGATTAATTATACTTCAAAACCAAACAAACTCATAGAAAAAGAGACCAGATTTATGGATACTAGAGAGGCAGGAGGGCGGGAGGGAGAACTGGATGAATGCAGTCAAAAGGTACAAACTTCCGGTTATAAGATAAAGAAATACTAGGGATGTAATGCACAACATGATAAATATAATTAACACTGCTGTATGTTACATAGAAAGTTAAAAGAGTAAATCCTAAGAGTTCAATCATAAAAATTTTTTCAAAATTTCTTTAATTTTGTACTTACATGAGAGAATAGATGTTCAAACTATTGTGATAATCACTTCACGATGTAAGTCAAATCATTATGTAGTATAATTAAACTTAAACAGTGCTATATGTCAATTATATCTCAATAAAACTGGAAGGGAAAAATTTTTTTTACATTCATAAACGTTTAGTCAGACTCATCAAGAAAAAAAAAAAGAGGGCCAAATAAATAAAACCAGAAACAAAAGAAGAGAAGTAATAAACGACATCATAGTAATACAAAGGATCATTAAGAAATTACTATGAACGATTACACACCAATAAAATGGGCAGCCTAGAATAAATGTATAAATTCCTAGAAATGTACAATCTCCTAAGACTGAATCAAGAAGAGACAGAAAATATGAATAGCTCAATTACCATTAATGAAATCAAATTAGTAATTTAAAAAAACCCAACGAACAAAAGTCCAAGACCAGATGGCCTCACAGGTGAATTCCACCAAATATTCAAAGAAGGGTTAACCCCTATCCTTCTCAAACTATTTCAAAAAACTGAAGAGGAAGTAATGCTTCTGAACTAATTCTACAAGGCCAACATCATCCTAATACCAAAACCAGACAAAGACACCATACAAAAAAGAAAATTACAGGCCAATTTCACTGATGAACATAGATGTACTTCAATTCCCACCACCTAGTATAGGGAATAAGCTATATTACTTTCTATTTCCAGATCATTACAGTTAAAGAACTATGAACTATAAAATGTTAAATAATTTAAACATGTAAGTTTGATATCAAGTACCAGACAGTCTATAATTTCTTAAGCAGAAATATATTCAAATGCAGAAGAGTACATAATGTTAGATATTATCAACCTTGCATGTAACTGACCTCGCATTTTAAACCATAATTTATCAAGCAATTAAGATGGAGTCTACTGCGATATTGTGCTATATTACGGTGTACTCACCAAAAATCATGCAATATTTCTCAATGTCAATGTTGTTGAAAATAATCACAGAGAAAAACAGGGGGAAATGGATGAATTAAAGAGAACCTAGTTTAATTCTCACACTAAATTTTAAAAAACTTAGGATTGAGCATATAAGGGAGAAAACAAAGTACAAATAAGACTTTCCAGAGATGTGTAAAGATAAATGTTGTCAATTTTTCATCACCTCCAAAGGAAATTGGTTTCTCAATTAACAGATGTTTCCACAGATTAGAAAGGGTAAATTTACTGAAAACATATCTTTTAATATACAGAACAGTCTACCTTCTGGTATGATAGAGGAATGCACTATTCTGATTTATCTAAAATCTCAGTTAACAGAAAATTAGCAATCAAATAATTAGAATGGAAACAATACCCTAAATTGAGCTGAAAAGAATTCAATATTGATGGTTCCCAAATCTTTCAGTGGCTCAGAATTACGATATGAATATCAATTCTTACTGAACTAAGGCTATTTGGAACAGCATTTAATAGTCTGATTGATATAAAAGGTACTAAAGCCTTTCTTCTTTGTATACATTTCATAGCCAAATGCATTTTTCTTTCAACTCAGAATATGCGCTACATATTTCATATATGTTTAAGATCTTTATTAAAAACTCTAATTTTTACTACACTGAAGTAAATAAACGATGGGGTATCAAAAGAAAGGACCTTAATCTCAGAGAGGTTGTGGAGCACAGCCAACCACCTGCCTCTTTCCCCAATGGAAGGGAATGAAGGCCTCTGGGAACAGACCCCATGGATTGATGCCTAATGACCTACAAGGTTATTCTTAAAGATTAACTGACCCATCACAGTGATGTTACACAACCCTCTAAGCATCAAAGATGTCTGGAACAAATTTGAAGATTTGAGGCCAATAAACTCTAGCCAAATTTAATTATATATAAATCAGGAACATCAATAGTTCACCCTAGATATGTATAGACACATACGCTCATATATTACATATATGGGATACTTCTGAAGGATGCATAAGAAAGTGTTAACAGCTATGGGTGTGGACTCTCTAAGTGGGAGTGTGGAGTGGCTAAAAGTCTTCTCTTCATATTCCTTTGCAAATTTACCATATGCATATATTACTTTTTCAATAAAACCTAATTAAAAATTAAATACATAAAGTTATGAGAAATGTAGACATCAAGGCAGAAAATTTAGAAAAGAAAAAACCAGGATGAGAACAAAGTAATAGTATCTTCCTCACAGTGGTTTGAGGATTAAATACATTGGGTTTATGGCAGTGATGTAAACACGGCATATACGTGGTATGTACAAACAAACACTACATTATAATTATATTGTTGTTATCCCTGGAAGATGTCAGACCCATTTCTAGAGACGTACTTCCTAGCCCTCAGTTTCTTCATTTGTACCCTACAGCAAAAACCTAACTCTATGGTATTATTGTGAGATGTAAATGAGCTAATAAATGAAAAGTGTCTAGCAAAGTAATCAACAAACTTTTTCTCCCCTAAATTCCAAATATATATATAATTTAGAACATTTCTCCCCCCCAAAAAGCCTAGAACCTTTCCCCATTGTGATTCTTGTTAGAAATTGTGGTCACATTTTTAGGATGGCCCACAGACTACATAATATATGGTAAACTTCTGTTATCGTTGAATTGTCACAGTATTTTTACAGCCCAATTCTCAGTCTTTAGAAAAGATCACGAGACTTAAGAGGGAAAGGTGCTTAGTGTATTACCACATTCACTGTCATCTTATTCAACCTGCCATCACTATGAGGTAGACATACCTATCCTCGTTGCATAAATAAAGAAATCAAAGCTCAGAGAAGTGAAATGATTTAATTATAGCAACACAAATCAGTGACAGAATAAGACTGGCTGGAAGCCAGGTCTGCCTTACTCTAAGGCAGAACACTATAAAGTTGTCTCTTTTTCTGTTATTTATTTATTTACTTATTTTAATTGAAGTATAGTCAGTTATGGTGCATTAATTTCTGGTATACAGCACAGTGATTCAGTTATATGCATATATATACACATATATTCCTTTTCATATTCATTTCATTACAGGCTATGTAATGCCTTGGGCGGTTATAGATAAGCAAGGAAAGGTCACTTCTGATGTAGACTATTAAGCTCCTCTTTGGCTATGCCCCTAATGTTTCCAAATGACTTTCCATTCACCTGTATCATGATACTTATTTGTTTTTTCCCTTTGTCTGTCCCCCACTAACCTCACTGGACTAAATTACATGTAAGAACAGACAATGTCACCTGCCCACGCATATCACTGTATAGCTGTGCAGAAGGTGTTTACTGACGACAAAAATGAAGGCACTGTCTATTTATACCTTAGACCATGAAAGAGCACAAAATGATACTAAGCAGCACAACAGGTAATCCAGAAATCTTAATTAATTCCTTAATTAATTCCTGACATATACCCATTTATATACCGAAAAGTCAGCACAAAAAGGGAATAAAATTTCATGGAAAATAATTCTAAATCATTATTGCACAAACCAAGGTACCTGAACTACTCCATGCCTTCTCTTTTCAAATGCCAGTCTGTCTTCATCGGCCTTCTGTTCCCACCGTAGTTTTTCAGTTGTTGGGTCTTTAAAGCCACTTTCTTTCTTACTTGTTCCTTAAGTTCTTTATAACGATCCAGCTGTATAAAAGGCATTTAAACATTGCTACCTCACTTAAAGAAGCATGAGAGGAAATTCTTTATATCATATCCTTTACTAGCAGATAACTAAACTTCTCAAAAGTACATTTTACATAAATTAGATCATAAATGGCCATCTTCTCCAGCTAAGGAACTGTGAACATAAAATAAACATTGTCTTATTTAAAATTGCTTAGATAGATCAATAAGGTATTCAAAACCAACTCTATAAGGTCTCTGTAAGAAATTCTTAAAAGAGAAAGCAGATTAAAACTCATTAATAGTCCAGAAGCAAGAGGAGTTCAGAGAAAATTACATCTTCTTTCTATTTATATAGTCACAATTATTTTAGTATATATTTTATAAGATTATCATAAAATTAACGGAAGAGATAAATGATAGAAATTTAGTTGAGAGTATAATTAAAAATTCTCAATTACAAATTTTTGGATATCTACTATCGATTTATTATAGTTAAAGCTTATAAACTAAATTGGATATTAATTCATTACTTAACATTTTAAATCATCTTAAGTAAATCGATTTCCTTGTCAATTAAGTGATCATGTCTCTTCAAAGCCATATATTATCTGACTTTTAAGTTTTTACAACATTAGTAAGAAAAAAAAGACTACCTTACATGTGAACATAATTTAATTACCTAAAACATAAGAATATAATTTAATTACCTAACTTTTGTTACAGAATGATACCATGTATCTTATTGACGTATTTTCTTTGACTTTAATTTGCTCAAAAATGTTATGTCATCTAATCTTATGAAGGAAAAAAACCTAGAATAAAGATTACATTTAGATTCTAGATACATAGCCTGAATCTAAATCCCCATAACTTAAATTCTGAGGACAACACTTAAAATATCAGAAAGAGATGTTATCCTTTAAATTTTTTCTAATGAAAAGGAGAAGCTGAAACGTAGAAACATGGTTTCCCACACGTTGACTTTTTCACCTGACTGGCTTCTAGTTCAATATCTCGCCCTTTATGTATGGCTTCTTCCTCAATCTGCTTTTCAAAACTTCTCCATGCAACATCTAAATCAATCAGCTCTGTCTCTAAGGCTTTTATATCATCTTCCTGTTTAGAACATTGTTTTTCACTGTCCTTCATTGATTTCTTAGCCACATCTAATTTCTTGAGGTGGTGAGAAGTGTTTTCCTTAGCTTTAATGTATTGAGGCCTCTTCTGATTTAAAAGTGCTTCAAGAGATCTAAAAAGAAAAATAAAGTTTGCTTTAAAGGAAATTAAATTGTATAATATATAAAGGAAGAAGTTCTTTTGATTAAATTATACATTTGAAAAGAAATGCTAAAAATTGACTTTCAGAGCTAAGCGAATCAGTGATTGCCAGACATTGGAGGGAGAACTGAATAGGTAACACACAGAGAAATTTTTTAAGGGTGATAAACTACTCTGTATGATACTGTAGTGGTGGACATATGACATCATGCATTTGTCAAAACTTACATGGTTTTACAGCACCAAAAGTGAACTGTAATGAATGCAAATTTTTAAAAACCACTTAGGAAGCCAAGGGATCCTAGATGGAATACAGAATGTGACAAAAGAATTAACTGTATTAAAAAGTTATGAAACAACCTTACTGAAGAAGGTGGAGGGGAAAGGTGCTAACCGAAATCACTTTGGAAATGAGTAGAGTTTGTAAAACTAAAAGCAAAAGGAACTGTACATAAGCATTGTACTCTAGTAGATAAAGCTGCTTCCCACAAGGATATGGGTTAACAATTCTGATACCACCACAAGTAATTACTGGAATTGAACAGTTAAGCAAACAGATGGGAGAGAGTGGAACCCAGGTTTCCTACTGTTGGAATGGGCAGTTACAGATAAGCAAGAAAAGGCCAACATCAACAGCAATATCACTTGATATTATGATATATTAGATGGTAAGTCATATACCATATATGATATGTTTACATCTCTGATACAATGTGATGATAATGGCATTTTACCTCTATTATCTTCTTCCCAAAACCCATCAACTCTTATCTAATTATGAGAAAACTATCAGACAAATCCTAACTGAGACACATTCTACAAAAAACCTGACCGATGCTCCTTAAAACTGTCAAGGTCACCAAAAATAAGAAAGTTTGAGAAACAAGCACAACTAAAAGGAGCCTAAGGAGACATGATGACTAAACGTAATATAGCATGCTGGATCAGAAAAACAACATTAGGTAAAACCTAAAAATATATGAATAAAGTATGAACTTTAGTTAATAATGTATCAATATTGGTTCATCGATTCTGACAAATAGATTGTACTACTAATGTAAGATGTTATAAGTGAGAGAAATTGAGTGCGAGTAGTGTGGGAACTCTCCATACTACCCTTAAAATTGTTCTGTATATCTAGAAGTATTCCAAAGCAAAAAGTTTATTCAAAAAATCAAAATGTTACTTATATTTTTATTTTCTCTATCAATCTACATAAAATCCAACTGTTAAAAACTTTTTAAAAAAACCTCACTTTAATTCTTTTTCTGTTTGTTGTAGTTGTCTGCTCAACATTCCATGTTCCTTTTTCTTGGCTTTAACTATGTTTTCATGACGAGAAAGAGACTCTTTCGTGACACGCAAATCCTTATTCACACGCTCTAACTCAGTGTTTAGAAAATGAATTTTTTTCTCATTATGATACAGTTGGAAAAGCTGTAGTTGTATCTTGTTTATTTTCAGTTCTTCAAGGAGACTCTGGTAACGTTCTGCCTATAAAATAGTATAATTCAACAACAGTTAAAAAGGAGTATATTTTAAGTTGACCTTACATAAACTCAGCTTTAGTACCAACAAATGACCTCTAATGAATTTTTATTTATGCCATTAACAAATGGTATTCTTGTCAAGAGTAGAATTATCTGGAGAAGGCTTCTGTATACACTTCTACAATAAACTAGTAAACCAGTAAATAATTTTATTTTCATGCACTCAGTTCTATGGTGGCAAGAACCATGAAGTGGCACCTGCTAACTGAGTCCTTATCTTACTTTTGTTTTTATCTCAGAGTCTGGCAAGCATTCCTGACATCAGCTTCCTCATTTGTAAGTTGAGGGAAGTTATATGACTTTTAAGGCCCCTAGCAACATTAAATTCAGTAATTTCAGGTAAAATTCCTTTTATAGGATATAATTTTTTCTACTAATAGGACTGTTAAAGTTCTAAATAATATGTAAATTGGAAGAATTTCCTTACCATTTGTACTATTAATAAAGAAAGAAAGAAATGTGATGCTTTGAGAGGAAAGCTCCTAATCAATGAAATATTCCAAGTAACAGAAAACAGCAATTTGCCACGGTGTAGTAAAAAATGAGGAAGTTGGACTATTCTAACTGTCCTTCTAATGTTTAAAGTCCTCCAACTCTACATTTCTGTAAGCTGTTTCAGCATATTATGAATACTACAGTTTACCTTTCACTGACAAAACCAAGGAAATATACACATGTAAAAATATGAACAGAGAAACATCACTAATAAGGAACACATCCACCTTTCATTTATTTCTTCAAATATTTATTAATCGCCTAGAGTGTGCCAGGCCCTATTCTGTGTGCGGAAATTGATTACAGAACAAGACAGAAACAGTCTCTGCTCTTGCAAGTTTACAATCTTGTTATCCTAATGGGCAGGCAGGGAAGAGGCAATAAACAAGCAAACAAGTAAGAATTCCATACAGCAAAATATGCTACAAAAGAAACAAAACAGAGTAATGCAATGCTACCAGGGAGGGGATGCTAATTTAGATTGGGAGCATGGACAGCAAAGCCCTGTCTAAGAAAATGGCTTTTTCATGAAAACCTGCAGGAGAGTATCAGCTGTGTAAAAAGTAGGTATACAAGTATTGAGGCAGAGGAAATAGAAGAGGCTCCAGGACAGACGGGAGTGTGATATGTTCAACGAGTAATAAAGGTCAGTGTGGTGGGAGAGCGGAGGAAGTGAAAGCTTCTAGGGTGAACAAGGGGCGATTCAGCAGGCTGGATCTGGAGACTGGATTCCCAGTGCAGTGGGAAGCACTGCTTGGGAAGAGGTTTTTTGCAAGACAAAGACAGAAACTGATTTTCATTTGAAAAAGATTACTCCAAAGACAACCAACTCTCAACAATATACAAAGTGCTATACTAGGCATTGGGAAGGGCACCAAGAAATAACCCCTACAGAACAGCATCTGCCAAGTGTGGCCGTGCCTCCTAGGGTTCCCCAACACCCTTTCATGGAGCCCCTGAGGTCAGAACTATTTTCACAATAATACTAAGACTTTATTTGCCTTTTTCACTGTGTTGACGTCTGCACTGATGGTGTAAAAGCCAACGGAGGGTAAAGCTGCTAGGCCTTAGCACAAATAAGAGTTAATACAGAAGCTGATGTGAGAATTCATCAGTCTTCTATTAAGCCAGACATTAAGGAGATTATAAAAATGTAAAATAATACCACTCTGCTAATTATTTAGTTTTATAAAATGCAGTGTTTTTCATAAAAATATGAAATATGTTATTCATGCTAACACGTAATGAGTTACTTTTACATTGATTATTAAAATACATTTTTTACTATCTCAGTTTTAATTTCAAATACAATAAATATCAGCATATGTAACGCACATGAATAGAAATTTTTTGGACTCCTCAATAATTTTTAAAGCGTAAGAGAACAAAATCCAAAAGTCTGAGAGCCTCTGCCGTATAAGGTTAAAAACTCCTCAAGTTTAATTTATTTGGGACAATCAGATACCTTTGCAGTTTAGGTCATTCTGCCTGTTTGAGAGAGAAGAACCTCAACAGTGGGAAATACATCAAGAAGTTTATCTCTGATGAGCACTGGGCTTTATTTAAGCCTTTTAGCAATCCCCAGCCAACACCTACAACTCTAGCAGGAAGTGTCTGTGCCCAGCACAGTTGGTTACACGACACCTTACCTCTTCTTTCTCTAATTTTGCATGTTTACGCTCTGCAGCTACATTTTTTTTCTTATTAAAATTAAATTGTGCATCTTCTTCAGCTTTCTGTAACTTTCTCTTTTTTTCCTCATATTCTCTTGCAAGCTCTCCTGAAGTGCTGATTTCCTCAAAAAACTGGGTTCTTTCTTTGGGTTTTTTCATTGAAATCAACTCCACAGTTCCCTTTTAAAAACAGTAAAGGAGACCAACACATGAAATATAGTGATATATTTTCAAGATCATGAGTCAAATAAACTACCACAGCTACTTACCTGAAAAACTAGACAGTTCTGTGCTTTGACTATTATTCCTATCTTTTCCAGCTCTGTGATGTAAAAAGAACGACTCACAGGATTATCATTAAAATGAAATTCTGAGCAACCCCCTAAAATAAAAGAATAAAGGCTGTTATAAATACCAGACATATATCAACAACTATGGAAAGCTTAATAAGATTTTTTATTGAAATAGCTACTTATGCAATAATATACATGTTAATAAACGTATTTAATCAGTCAACAAATACTGAGTGTCTACTACATGCCACAGAATATTCTACAGCAGTGAACATAACAAATGAAATCTGATCTCAAGGAGCTTATATCCTAGTAATGAAGACAGACAAAAATGAGATATGTAAGTAAAATAAATACGTGAGAAAGTGTTAAGTTCTAAGGAGTAAAATAGAGTTGGGAAGGGGGTATGGAAGTTCCTGTGTAGGAGAAAGAGGCACTGCAATTTTAAATAGGATGGATGCAATGGTCTGAATGTTTGTGTCCCCTCTAAACTCAATTTTAAATTGAATGTTTGTTAGGGTCTATGGCGACAGTGGTTGAGGGGCTGGGGTAAGGAAAAATGCGGAGATGTTGGTCAAGGGATGTAAGCTTTCATTTATGCAAGATAAGTAAGTTCTGGAGATCTAATGTATAGCAGTATGACTATAATGAACAATACTGTATTGTATTCTTCAAATTTGCTAAGAATGTAGATCTTAAGTGTCCTTACCACACACACATCTACACACACACACAAGAAAATAGTAACTATGTGAGGTGATACATATGCTAATTAGCATGACTGGTAATTATTTCACAATGTATATTAAAACATCAGTTATATACTTCAAACATATACAATTTTATCTGTCAATTATACCTCAATAAAGATGGAAAAAATAAATTTAGGATGGTTTACTGTAAACAAAGTAGGTTAGGGACTCCGGCTAAGGTACAGACTTGATAAAAAACTCAAAGAAAAGTGAGAAAACTAACCAATGAAAATATCTGGGTGATACAGTGGTGAAATATTTAAATTACACATTAAGGTACAAGTATACAATAAGTATTTTTAAAATTATTTGTGACTGGACTTGAGGAAAGTTAATAAGACAGTGTTTATACATCAGAACCTTAGAACCATGCTCTAGAGGCAGAATGAAAACAAGTAACAACAAAAAACAAAACCAAGAAGCATCTATTTATAGAGGCTCTGTAAACTCCTAGCATAGGTAGGAAATACACATATAAATAAGTCTC